AACTTGTATTTATCAGGTTTTGTTTAAGTTGGTTTACAAATGTTACCCACTACACTTCAACTGGTTTGAATTACGATTATCAACAGCGGACATCTTGCTCCTATTGTTCTTCACTAGACGGGATACGGAGTCGATTTCATCCTATTCAGGGTATTGGACTCGGCTTATCGTGACATGTTCTTCGCGTGGGATCGCGGCATCGATTACTTTTATCAACAACTAAGGGCCCACACTTCGATTCTATCACAGCTTTGAAAGTGAGCCCAACTGTATTTGCTATCATAAACAAGCTGAATAATATACGTGAATTCGTAAAGTTCAAAAAACAATTATATTCTGAATAAATGGAACCTAATGTCAAATGATCGGCGGGAATTTTCAGTATGGACTTGTGAATAAACTTAGACTTAGCGTACGTTTCAGACAGCGCACTCCACTTCCGCCTGCACTCTAAAAAATATCGGTCCCGTTGTGTAGTTAATCTTCGCTCAGAATGCCCGTCGGTCCCGGCTTTTACTCACTCCACCCTCTTGGATGGGGTTTTGCTTTCTGAAGAACTGCGCGTCCTTCACTGACATGGCTTCCATCTACAAAGCCTTCTATCGAATATTCGCCACCTCTCCTGAACATGATGACTGTTATTCTGCTCTCCTCCTTCCGCTGCTGCAAAGGTAAGCAGACGCACGCCTGTCCTTTCAGCTTTCGTTTGATGTAAAGTCGCATGCTTCTGCGGGATGTGCTTCTCTTTTATCTCTCTTGCTAGTCTACCCTCTGTCGAATGCTTCGACTTCCAAGCGTAGTCTCCAATACTGCCAAACTTCCCCGCCTGGCTTTCTGTCCCTTTGAATTTTCTCGGAGACTTCTTAGACGAGTAAGTTCGTTTGAGTAAAGTTAAACTTTAATTGCCAGTTGCCGAAACACACATACGACACGACGATTAGAGCTCACAAAAAGCATAAATGATTTGTTTTGAAGACGGTAGGCACAGACACGTTTCTCAAGACTACAATTTTTCCTAACTCCACGTCAGTCTGTCACCATGTGAAAGTTTTAATCGTTCTATCTAGATCTTAGCCTGTTCGTCAACTTCTCTTTTGCTTTGGGTCGCACAGTCCGGGCAAGTTGAATGACAGTTAGCAGTGTCAGTAGGCAGCAAAAATCAGGCCTCCAAAGGAGTGTATTGCCACACGTTCAGACTCACTGTTCATTCTGAAGAGTGAGACTTTCATAAAAAGGAAGGTTTACGATTCACTGGTGACAGGAGAAGAGCTGTCAACTTACCCTGATAGGATACAATTTCTTGCTGTCGCAGTTGATGAATATTACGCGGTTATGCCGCTGAATCCGATGTAGTTCGGGTAAAATATGTCTATCAGCTTTCTGGAGGATTTATTCCAAGCTAGCACACTTATTTTTGAGAAGCTAAGCAAACTGATATTTCAAATTAGCAACCGAAAGACACAAGGGAACGCTGGAGACACCTGATAGGTCGAACCTCTCGCGGGTATGTCAAACGGCAGCAGAGTATCGGGGAACCACGTTTCACTGTTTTGGCTACTTCAGAAGGAGAATAGGCGATTGCTGAAAAAAATACTTTTACTGGCCTGCAGTTTCGGATTCCCACTCGAACTCATCATCCGAGATAGCCGCTCATAGGGATAATAAAGATACAAAGAGCTCAGTGTTTTTGTTCAAATTAGCTACCTACATGCGTACTACTATGAACAACGGTGTGTGTCGCAAATGATGCGACGAGGGCTTGTCAGCCCGCGTCTGCGTTGTTAATTGCCACGATTTCATCAGCCATGTTGTATGTTGGCGTGATAATTACGCGACAATTAAGTTCATGGACATTGAAATTGCTGATAGCTCGCGCCTTCACCCACGTGACTGATTCCTCTGCTCAGGCGAAGTCTCGGTACGGAATATAGAGACCGCAAGTCATTGTGCTTTTTGATTGGCTGCGGGCCTGAGAGCAACTAACAGCTCCCATGGTTGCTATCTCCTGGCGTCATATGGCCGAGTCCCGTCGAGTGAGCTGTAACCAAAGCCTTAGCACCTTGCCTCCTCACGGCTGCTGCGTGCTCGGACATTCGCGTCCGGAGTAATCTCCCGGTTCTCCAACGTAGCTGCTAAAGCATTCAACATATATTACTTGCTCGCTGTATGAGAGTGCTCAGCGCCTCGTTATAATGCACACAATTGTGCGGATACGGTTGGTTGGGGTGCAATAAAATCTAGTGCGACTCATGCTGCTGAAGTTTGCATAAAGCCAGCTACCGAACTACCTTTCTACCTATCATACATACGCTAGTCTTTCTCCCTTAAACAAAACACTAGTATTTCGCATGAGAGGCGCTTCACCTGCAGTTTCGGATTCGCACTCGAACTCATCATCCGAGATAGTCGCTGGCAGGGGTAATAGAAGTACCAAGTGTTCAGTATTTCTTGTCTACGTGCATGCGACGTGCATGCGTGCACAAACGCTAGTCCTTTTTCTTTAAAGGAAGTACTAGTATTTCGAATGGGAGGTACTTGACCAGACAGAATGCGTCTTAATAGTTTTTAAAAGAACTGATATTTATTTTTACTGTTACGCATGAAAAGCTCATCAATGAAATGCGAACAGGACGCTATGAAAGTTTTGGCCACGACAACAGATCAAGCATTTTCGTCGTGCTATATATGTTTAATCAATGTCGTCAGATATTTCAGCAGAAATATTTATCTCTTCATGCGATCTTTATTGTGGTTAATAAGAAATATTATTTTAAGGAAAGGTGCCATTTGGGAAAATTAGGAAACTTTGTTTCGTAAATGTTCGACACTGGATCCTCAGGTCGTCGTCAGACTTGAGAAATTACATTTCTTGGGATGCCTGCCTTCCAGTTTATACGAAAGAAATATGCTTTTCTGATGAAAGTTTTGGATTTCCCGCCATTGCTATTTAACTCTTAGATATTGACTTGCTTGTTGGTACATGATCAACTGCTAAGGAATTTGCATAACCATCTAGAGCTATTTGATTTATTCATCGTCTTAATTTTGGGAAATCGTCTGTTATTATTGTTGTTAAACACACTTCTGTCGCCAACTTCGGAATTCTGCCGCAACATGACCAACATTTTTGATTGGGATTCTATCTTGTCAGTCTACACGCTTTTCACAGTGAAAATATTCCTATCATTTGTTTACCAGAATTTACAGCCGCTTCCAGAGTATCGTTTTGCAGCGCCTCGCCTTTGATGATTCTCGCTCATCCGAACGTGCGACTGAGCTACTCTCGCAGTTCCAAGGCATAGAGCCCCTAGTGACGAATCTACCCCTCCCTCACATTCCTGCGATTTGGTCAAAAGTCTTTCCGGAGGGTCGATTGCCATGTGGTTGCTCCTTCGCACTGACTAAAGCTCTCTTAGAGCCCGCGGAACATGACCACAAGCCCTGCGAACCCACGGAAAGTGACAACCCGAATGGTGGCTCTTTCGCTGAGACATTTAAGCATACCCTGATCGACTGCATCGTTGATCTGCGTTCCGTCCCAGTTCAGGCCTTGCCCGAAGGCCTCCTTTTCTTCTTCAATAACCTGGAAATTTTCGTGCAGGCTGAAGATTCGCCTCTGGGCTGCTTTCGTTTTCTCAGTAACCACGCAATTACCCATTTCCTGTTATTCGCATTTTGGTGGAAAATTGGCTCGCAGGCATCAACAGGAAGCAGAGGACACATGCATGGATAAAGGCGGACGCAAACGATCCATTACGGCCTCAGAAGCTCGTTATGTTTGCAGTAATTGCCTATATGATCGATTCGGAGGTGCAACCCGGTAAGTGCTTGGGAGTGAAAATGAATAAACACCTTGTTTCATCAACCAAGTCCACTGACCGTCTTGTATCTGTACATGTTGCGCCTTCCGGCCTAGCTGGAGAAACTGGTGCCAAGGATTATTACTTAATTTGGATGACGCCGGTTTTCTCCTGCGTAGACACTTCGTTTTCGGTCACGGATGAGGTTATTAGTTGCTTCCGTGCTCTTTGACATCTACATCTGGATAACCGTAAATTTGTTTATTTGTTTGTATAATAGTTTCGGTAAGTTGACTTCCCATCGCTGTGTGTGTCTTACTGAAAGACGTCCTAAAGCGTACATTTGCTTTATCCGTCGTTCCCAATAAATGTTTCCGGAAGTTGGTTTGCACCCAACTGGTTCACAACTATTTCAGCCAAACAAGCCAAGTCTCATTGAACAAGATTAGTCTATATTACATCCGTGTAGCCTCCACGTCCCTTTTATAAATCCACCTCACACTGCAAGTCTTCTGGACCGGTTTGCTACCCCCTACAGTTTGGTTTACTGACTGTTATTTGTCAAGTTTTCGGGGATTTGCTTCATTGCGAGCGACCTTTTGGCATGATTATTTAGCCTACAATCTGTCCTAGGGAGTCATGGTGCTGTTATGGCTCTTGTGTAGTAGTTTAAAGTCTCTTCTTCTAAGGGCAGTAGGGTGAGCCGGTTTTTGTTGAAGATTCACTTTGTCAAACGATTGCGGTAGCTTTTTCTGAACTTGAAAGTCCTTAGAATTATTAATCATACCGACAGCGTAGGTACTATGACCGTAGCGTATCATTTTTGAAATCAAATGCTCGAGAGACTTAAACAGCCACTCTATCACGGGCTCCCGTTGTTCCCGTTAAATCAACGCAAGATGAGCTCTGAGGAGAACTCCCCACAGGGGTTCATTGGGAAAACACATGTAGGTTTCGGACTTTTAGGTGGCATGCAGCTGATTTCATGCGTACGCAACGATTTTTTAAAGAAGGGGTTAAGAAGTCAGGGCAATTTAAACTACCGCTAATAAATATGCCTTTCAGAAATGGAGATTGAATTGCCTGAAATCTGTACTCTTTTTAGATTTGCTGTTGCCGCAATTTTTTTTTCGCGTCTAGCAGTGGATGCTTAAGATGTTCTTTGACATTTATGCCTTGTCTTAAGTTTCGGCTTCATTATAAAAGTACCTAATGTAAAAATCCTCCAAGAGGAGAATACTAAAATTTTCTGGTAAAGCACACATTTTACCAAGAAAGGAGAAACTTTAGAAGGACTAACTTTACTGGCCGCAAACCACAAAATGACTTCAGGCATGTGACAGCAAGAAAATGAGAATTGAAATTTTTAAAAGAGAAAATAGAGCCGCTGAAAATGTGTCGGCAGCAAGCATACTTCCATCCTAATTGTGAAGTTATACCGAAAAATCATCCACAACAAATCGGACAGCACGTCATGTCACATTCACATGCTCACGGGTCCGTCATATTGTCGGAGTGATGGTAGCCGCTCAGGTTATGGGACGTGCTCCTCCCGTTGCCATTTGAGTTTCAAACTATAGCTCTTTCAGGCATTCATATTTGTAGTCTAGTATTGTTACTCACTCGCTGTAGCCTACGTAATGCGGGCATTTCACGAGTTTCTTATTATGTCCCTTTTCCGACTCCTTTTGTCCTATCTGCCGCTGTTTTCTATCATTTAATCAAAAATAATAAGTTTCTGATATTTGCTTTTTTTAATTTGGTAGTTTTTAATCTCTGTTTTTGTTTATGCTTTCCTCCGTTCTTCCACCGTTTGCCTGAGAAACTATTGAAATCTCACGTATTTATGATATTTTTCAAAATATGCGCCGAGGCCCTGCAATATTCCGTTAACTTACAGCTATGGAATTAAAGGGCATACTTCAATTCAAGATGCCTCAAATCGGAAGCCTGATGCCTACTACTGGGACTAATCAAAAGAGCATATAATTTTCTCTTCTGGGAATTGGCGTGGGACACCGGTGGCATTGCCTCTCGAGGCATATATTAATTCCACCTGTCTGGACCAATTTGGACACGATCAATATCAGGACCTTTACGATATCAAAAAGGAAAACCTTTGTCTCTTAACATTTACGAACCGATCAGGAAACCCGATGCCATTTTAGAAAGTTACAGTTGGAGGTGCGCTGATTGGGCATTTCAGTAATTGAGTGAAATTTGGATTTAAATCGCCAATGTTTTTCTTATTTCATAGAAATCATTTTTGTAAATACGAATCTCATCCACAGCTTTCAATGCATTTGAGGACCTACCGAGTAGTTATTCATTTCACGCGTAAGCAACAGCGCAGACACTTCCATTGGACATTGCAGTATTCATATTTAATAAAGTTAACCAGCAGAAAAAATGGAACCTTAATAGCCACTCCAAACTAGCAGACGTCGGGAACCACGTTATCACAAAGGCCACCCGAACTGTACAATACCCGCTTAAAATATTTGTAATAATGAATTGTATGCAACCCACAGTGTATGAAGATTATCACGGTAAAAGAGTGGATCGATGAATATGTATGATCTTGCTTTACGAGGGCGTTCAGGAAATTACTGTTGGGGAAAGTGGTAGCAATCGAAATTTCGTTTCACTCTCCATAATTCTTTCTCTATTGGGGAGGAGGATGTTAATCGAAGATTTCCCAGGACGTAAATTTTGTTGCTCTCAAACCAATGAGTAGTTACTCATTGTTTTGTATGCTTGGCCCCTCTTGCATTCATGGTCACCGATATATTAATTTACGGCTGGGTATTTTGCCGAAAAAAATAGGGAATAGTCGGAAACGAGTTTTTGTCCCCCACCCGGCAGGAAAACGGAATAAGAACGCCTCTCTCTTTGTAATATAGATGAAGTTGTATCAAATAACAGAATTGCCATCTATTTTCATATCCTTCCCTGCCAGCAAACGCCAAAAACTGGACGGGGGGATGCGGGTTTATCCAGATTTGATGTTTAAGGCATATGTATTATTCCGCAACCCGAAATTTCCAGAATGCTGTACACGGCCCTAAAAAGGCAATCTAACTCATTTTTTTGACTATTTTTGAAATTACGGTGCTTTTAGGTGACATTGTATATTACTTTTAAGGGTAACTTGATGATATGCGTATCGTCCCCGGAATTTCGACGGGGAGATCCACCGACAACGACGGGGATATGCGGGTTGAAAACCCCGTCCTCACCTCCGTCGAACCCTATCTTCACCGCCTATCTCCCCGGAATTTCGACGAGGGGATCCGAGGATTTGGCTAGCAGGGTTGTTTCTTTTGAATTTAGCGCGAAAGTTGCTCGTTCCTGACGTTCCTATACCCATACCCGACTAGGTAGAGGGGAGACTACATGGATGATCCAAAAAATAAGGGAAACCCGAAGGACAATTTCTGGCTTATTTTGCATTGCCAGCTAAAATATCTCAACACTAAAGAGGAAAGATCAGATATTTACACACGACACAGATTATCACCGAGTAGTTCAGTACATTGCTCCATCAGCTCAGATCCTTCCATTAAACGGCAAAACGTTAGTTCCTTCTTACCTGGCGATCTTTGTTACTGAAAATACACTGCATATTAATACAACACAAGGCTTCCTAAAACAGGCACGCCCTGAATGTTAGCGACTGTCGAGAACAGACAACCATGAACTATTTTGAACTTTGTCAAGATATGATGGTGAGGTAACTATCGACAGCAAATGCGGATAGACTAATCAGCTTTATTTTGGGTCTTTTACTCGAATTTGGTTTGCTTTGGTAAAACGATGTATTGGTGTGCATCACGTCTTTCCGAATACACAATAACAGTTTTTGTAAAGTATACAAACCTCTGGTGACGAACTGCGGAACCAGTATTGAAAATTCTTCCAATATAAATCCCATCTCTCCGGAATCATTTTACTTTCTACCTCATATACATATTCACTGGTAGGCAGAGGGCATTCATTGGTCAATTTACGAGACATGTTCTTCCCTTTGAGCTTTGAGGCCCAAGCTTGAACCTTCCCAGAC